CACTGTCCACTGGAAACTATGGGTAAATTCATGGATTTTACTAGGAGGATTAGACTTTGGAATTACCGAAAGGCTATTCAATTACTAGATCGAATTTGATTGCATAGTTATGTTTATGAGGCAATAAATCAGTATGAGATGAGTAGGAAAGTTATTGGTCCTATTTGTAACCGTTGGCTTTTGGTCTAGGTTTTGAAAAACCCTAGAAAATCTTGATTTTGCTCAAATAGGTACATTAAATAGCTGAAAATTCCTGGAATTTTTCGTCAATCATCAGGATCCTTACAAACGAAAAGCAGCGCTCATAGCCTGGGAGGAGAGGACACTCAAACAGGGCAAGCCTCTGGTAGATGACACTAGGACTAAGCCCAGGCAGGGTCAGCCCTACATGGGGACAAGTACCAACGGGGGGTTGTACTTTGTTGAGGTTTGTGGGGGGTCGTATCGGTAGCACGAAATTACATGTAGTGCGTATATACCCCTTCCCCCCTAGAAAATGGTGAGTGGAAAAATAGGGAAAAATAGGGAAAATCGAGGGCCGCTCGACGGTGTTTTTGAGGGAAAAAGTAGTTGTGAAGAGGGGGTCGTATGAAATTCTCGTGAAGGAGGGGGGTCGTAAAAATTTTGCAAAAAGTCCCAACGATAGGACCGACCCTGCGCCCAGGAGAGCCCAGAAAGGCCGGGAAGAACAAAGGTTGTTCACGTCCTTCCCTAGAATCCCTTCCCCTCTCTAAGGCTCATTTGAGCGTAAGGGATTGACGAGATAATGAGGTTTGTCTGAGGAAGGAGCAAATCGAATATCTCAGTTATTTAGTTTATAATGGTTTTTTCTTTCTTAATTAGTCTAAGTTTAGTAATTGGTTCACTCCCTTCAATGTCCCCCCCCCCCTCAAGGACATATGCGCTAAAGGGCATCCTTGTCCATTTTTGTTTGCACTACTATTTCCTGCAAGCGAAACCACGGACTACGGGGCTGTCAAAGTCTCAAATTCTTTTTCTCGATAGCTTACGTTTGCTACTCCTTCGGACCTTGTTTCACGTTCAATACTCACTACATGAACCTCTTTATAGCTTTAAAGGCAGGGTAAATCGTCACGATGTACAGATTTCGAAATTACCAACCCCCTCCCCCTCCCCCGCCAACGGTCAGTGATGTCGATGGCGTAGTTGAACCTGTTATCACTGGACACACTGCGACTCCGCCCATCCGGCCATAGGAAATCTACCAAAATGGCCTCGATGGGGAATGTAGTCGTTTTTCGCTATGGCTATTTACGGAAGCATTCTCGAGGACTTAGCCTAGAGGGGCAGGAGCTCCAGGGAAAGTGAAAACGGCTCACGCACCTTGGAGAGTCCTCTCCTCCCCGCCTCAAGGCTTGGACCCGTCTTTTAACGAAAAAGACATGATTTACGCGGTAGTGCTATCACAATGCCCCGTATATTGCGATAGTGCCCGTTTTTCTTCAAGCCGAAATTTTCTACTGAATTCTCACGTTTTTACATTTCGTTTTTTACGTTTTTTTTACGTTTTTCTTCATGTCGTATACCGTTCGAAAGAACTTTCCCTGGAGAACGTGTTGTTTCTCACCCACATTCATTGCGAACACTTCAACTTTTAGGCTTGCGAAATGGGAGGCCTAGTGGGTGAGAATTTGCCCAACCGACAAGTAGCTCTAACTCTGTTTTCCTCTGGGAGATCGATCCATGATGTTCCCTTCACTTATTTTCAGCAGTGACCTCTTTCTTAGCATTTTGCTATTAGATTACCGAGAAGCCTTCTCAGGTTTCTTCCCGAGTTTGATTTTTCTGATTGACCGCTATGCTGCGAGGATTTTTGCACAAAATTTCCTTCGAGTTCTTATTAATTCACACCAAGCGATTCTTTCACTGTCTTCTGCAGTGGTTCCGGTTGTTAGAACTTGATCCTTATTATTTTCTATCCGTATTGATTTATCGATTTTTCGTGATGTTCTTCGAGGCTCGAACTCAAGTGTCTGCAGTTTCCGACTATTGTCTGCTCCTCAGTCGTTCTCGAGTCTATTTGTTGGTGTTGATGTAGCAGAATTGCCCGTGTCGGTTTTCAATTCGCTTTGGTCGTCATATCAGTTTATCGATTTTTTGTTGTGATATTTTTGAAGCTGGTAGCTCAAATTTCTGCCATTTCCAGAATGATGACCACAACGGAGGCCAGCATATTGTACAATACAACGTTGGCCATTGACGATCCGATGGAAAAGCTGAATTATCTGAAAAGTATCTACACATGGTTGATACCGCTTATGATAATTATTCTCGCGGTAAATTGCTTTTTTTATAAATTTTTTCACTAATTGCTTGGTTGCTATAAAATTATGCGGGGGCGGAGGGGGTGTCACGGCAAGTGGCGCCACTCCCACGCGCATGGTCGGAGGTCAAATACCGGATCAAGCTTCGTTTAGGCCACAATTAAGCTTTCCATTCTTCTGGCTTTGGTTGATTAACACCAAATTTATTTGGGAGGATAGAAACACTGACTTTCGCGTCGGTTGGCTTAAGCAATTCACCCTATCGAAAGCCATTGCGATGTGGGATGAAAGCAGAATGCGTGGCGCATCCCGAAAAGGAATACTGACCACTGAAAGCTTCACTATTCATATGCGGATGAATGGACGCTGCAAAGCTGAGACGGTTGGGTGATAAAGGATAAAGGATAAAGCATTTGCCGTTGATCAATCCCTTTTTGGGATGCGGCACGCATTCTACTTCCATTTGTACATTCGTAGTGGCGTTTGAATGCGATGTGGCCTATACAATGACTTGCGGGGGCCAGCCGATGTACAAGTCAGTGTTTTTATCCTCCCAGACAAGTCTGGTACCAATTAACCGACCCCGGAGGGATGGAAGGCTTGGTTGGCCCGGGCGACTCACGACCCAGGATTTGATCCCCGGACCGCTCGCGTGGTAAGCGTGCCACTTGCCACTACACCACTTCCGCCCTGATTGGATCCTTTCTCCTCGATTGGGTGATACACTGGAGGAATCTGTCGAATGAAAGAAACACATTTTATGCATTAAATTGCATTGCTGGCGGAAGATAATTTTGCGGAAGATAAAAACTTACCCACAAGGACGCTGAGCTCTAAACAAAGCATTGCCTAACCGGGAATCTAACCTGGGCCGCCTTGCTTGTAAGGTATGAGTCTGCCACTACACCACCAGGGCCATGTTTCACCTTATTGGGCTTCCAACGATATATTCACCATGGTTACTTATCACAATGCCCACTAAATAAGGTCTTTCACCGAAATGCATTTGCGAGTCTGAGATAAGGGTCAGAGGGTCAAGAACAGCGGTGTGGTCACCTAAGTGACTCTACGATTGAACGCACAAGTAGAGTGCGCGGCGCTTCCCAAGACTAATGGACCAGTCACGATTAGAAACTTCCCAATGCATGTATTATTTTAAAGAAGCTATGAAACGGGAAATGTTAAAGATGCATACCGAAAAACAAATTTTTAAATTTTGTGACTGTTGTAAGAAAATATATTCGAAATACTCTTTATTTTAGCTAGCCATCATCGGTAACGGCCTGATTGTATTGTCGGCGCCATTTTTGTCCTCACCGGTCTCCCCATACCTGAAACTATGCATAAGTCTTGCCGCAGCTGACATGTGGGCTGCTTCCTTGCTTATCACAGGTGAGATGTCATTTCAGTAACAATTTTTTGATATCTTGACTTTTTTGATTTTTCTCGCGAAAATATTAAATAATTTACATAGTAGAATGATTAAACTCTGCGCCTATGTGGTAGGCCTTAGGCGCGTGACTTGAGAAATCTTTAAAGTTTTCTGAAAAATCTTGTCTCAATGGCGACAAGTGAGCTAAATTTTTTATGAACCTGGTGCTGAACAAAGGAGGTACGGTAAGCTTTTGACAAAAACAAGGCTCCAATGGAAATTCTTCCTGAAAAAAATTGGGTTATGAGCTATCTGTACGCTTCAGTGACTGTTGTGAGGGAAAAACTGGTGGAATGAGTTTTTCTTGAGCTATGCAAAGAATGCGCTTTTTGAGAATTTCTTCACAGTACAGGATTCATCCATTAATTATTTCTACAGTAATCCATTTCCAGGCTTGGTGGTAAATTCCTACCTGCCGGTGGTGATTGGTGTACAGAAATCATCAAAATGTGTGGACGCGTGGCTGGAGATGTTCCGGGTTTCGGGCATGCTCACCTCAGACATGCACCTGTTCGCTCTGGCCATCAATCAGTTCTTCGGAACCATGTGGCCTTTGAAATATAAGGTAATTTTGCCGACTCCACTTCGGAATGGATCGATTTTTGGGTTATAAGATTATTTATTTATTTATGTTAGGTGATGGTGACGACACGTCGAATACGATGCATTGTGCTCAGTTTGTGGATTGTTCCTTTGCTGTTTGTGTTTTGCTGGTGAGTGAGCGGACCTATTAGTTTTATCGTCGGAGGGGGGGGGGGGGCGGGGACGGGACCGGTCA